ATTTTTTTCAATACCCTGTCAGTGTGCTGTTTTATTTTGATTATCATAGTGCTCCACAGTGAAGTTGCTAACCTAACAGTTCAAAGAGATCTTTTCATGGCTTTCTTGACGCATACATTTTTTTTTTTAAATTCTGTTACAAAATTTTATGCAGGAAAATTACAATCTGTATTAGAAATTCCCTGAATATTGGAGGCATCTGGTGCTGGGTTTTCAGTTTAGGTTATTAAGTCAGGAAGTCAGAGGTTGCATCCCAATTAAAGTTTGGATTTCTTCATATTCAGTTCTAATTTTAAAAAAACCCTGAACATAACAATGTAGCAGTTGGATGCTGGCATGTGAAATATTTTATCATCCCATGAGATTAACAAGGTCTTGTTTAGCAATTCAGAAGCATTTCTTCTTTCATCAAGTTTCCCCTTCCTTGGGCACTAGAGAAAAGAACGATTCTGTGCTAACACTCAGTGTTGGCATTTGGAAGAAGCTGAAAACATGTTCCTGTGAAGGCTGGCATATAATACAAAAGCATTCTTCAGAAGTTGTGGTACTGTTTAAAAAAAAAAATGCATGTGGCTAACTGCCTTTTAACCTTTTACCTTCACTTTGGCCACTATTGTAAGGCTAGACGGAGTAACTGCTCCTGCACGACTCATACAAGAGCAAACACAGGGACAGGAGACTGGAGAGGCTCAGCCCAGCACGCTTTGCCTGTGGGCTGCAGTGAATAACCACCCTGTGCAAGAAAAGTGTGTAGCTGTCCTGTCGGAGATGTGTGTCTTGCTGGCAAAGTCCTGCTCATCGGCTGTGAAGCAAAGCTTTCACAGGCTGGCTGCTTCTGGCCAGCAGTGCCCCACGGAAGAGGTCCCTCTGCAAGTGAAAAACAAGGAAAACCGGGACTTGGGTATGTTCTGACTTTTGCTGCCTCTCGAGGAACTTTGAGTTCAATGAGTCTTGCTACAATGAGCCCTGAGTTTAAAAACTCATCTAGCTAAAGAGATTTTCAACATTGTTCTGCCAAGGAGAATAAACCCCAGTGAAATCAAATAAATTTGATACTAAGCTGTGCTGCAGCTGTTTAACATCCCAGACCTTCCCATTTTTCCTTCTCTGCCAAGCTAGGCAACACAAATCACATTTACAGTTCCTTTCGCGTTGTACATGTGACATGGGTTTGCAGTGTAACAAGATTAGTTTTCCCTGTAATCCTCTTAAAATATCCCTCCTTTGATTGTCTTTTCATCTTTTGGTGTTCTGGAACTTGGAAGAAGCATTTCTTCTTTCATCAAGTTTCCCCTTCCTTGGGCACTAGAGAAAAGAACGATTCTGTGCTAACACTCAGTGTTGGCATTTGGAAGAAGCTGAAAACTGTTCCTGTGAAGGCTGGCATATAATACAAAAGCATTCTTCAGAAGTTGTGGTACTGTTTAAAAAAAAAAATGCATGTGGCTAACTGCCTTTTAACCTTTTACCTTCACTTTGGCCACTATTGTAAGGCTAGACGGAGTAACTGCTCCTGCACGACTCATACAAGAGCAAACACAGGGACAGGAGACTGGAGAGGCTCAGCCCAGCACGCTGTTGCCTGTGGCTGCAGTGAATAACCACCCTGTGCAAGAAAAGTGTGTAGCTGTCCTGTCGGAGATGTGTGTCTTGCTGGCAAAGTCCTGCTCATCGGCTGTGAAGCAAAGCTTTCACAGGCTGGCTGCTTCTGGCCAGCAGTGCCCCACGGAAGAGGTCCCTCTGCAAGTGAAAAACAAGGAAAACCGGGACTTGGGTATGTTCTGACTTTTGCTGCCTCTCGAGGAACTTTGAGTTCAATGAGTCTTGCTACAATGAGCCCTGAGTTTAAAAACTCATCTAGCTAAAGAGATTTTCAACATTGTTCTGCCAAGGAGAATAAACCCCAGTGAAATCAAATAAATTTGATACTAAGCTGTGCTGCAGCTGTTTAACATCCCAGACCTTCCCATTTTTCCTTCTCTGCCAAGCTAGGCAACACAAATCACATTTACAGTTCCTTTCGCGTTGTACATGTGACATGGGTTTGCAGTGTAACAAGATTAGTTTTCCCTGTAATCCTCTTAAAATATCCCTCCTTTGATTGTCTTTTCATCTTTTGGTGTTCTGGAACTTGGATTAATGGGATTGAGATTTATTCCACAAGCCCTGTTCGATGAGCTGCTTTCAAGAATTAGTTGCCTACAAACACATTTAATTTGGAAAAAGCACTTTAATGGTAGCTGAATTATGCAGTGTTATGCCAAACATACTATAAGGCCTATATATGTACTTGCAGTATGTATGTCTGTAGATACTAGACAAGGAGGTGAATAAAACAAGATAGGCTTACTTGTTTCAGTGTCTAAAAATATCCCATGTGGCTTCTCTAGGCAGATTTGCAGAGCCTTGGCTGTACATCTGCAAACTAGCTGACAAATTGACCACGCGCCTTTTCTTGTTCTCATCACGTTTCAAGCACCATCCTTGGAACTACCCCTTCCATTGGTCCCACGGGACGTATTTGCCTTGCAATCAGCTTGATCTGGTTCCCTTGTCTCTGAATCCCTGTTTCGTTTGTAGAAGCTTGATACCAAAGTAACAGCTGGTTTGCTGAAGCACTGATGCCAGAAGTCACACAATGCTAACGTTTCATACAACTCTGTGTGAGTGACTGAGCAGCTCTGCCTGGTGCCTTGGCATAACCGGTGTGTATTTTACAAACAGAAAAACCCAAAGCATGGAGCAATTACATGATTTTGAGCTAGTCTAGACCAGAGCTGCTTATTGCAGAATTCGGGATTGCTCAACTCCAGTGTTTAGCCCAAAAGACCACCCTGCTGACGTAAAACTAGCGTATGGCTCTGTGCCTTCCCCTGCCTGTCCCCCTGCCTCTTAAACTTCAACTCCATTTCAACCCCATCTCTTTAGTTGGTCTTATTCTAGTAACAAAAGTCCCTACCTTCTCCAGGAGGTGCTGCGAGGGTGAGTCATGACTGCAGAACATTTCTGAATCATATGGTAGCACGCCCTGCTATACAGCGACCACTGGTGAGGGATGAAAGGCTGTGCTTGGCTGACCTTTCTGAACATGAATAGATGCATACACTCTGTGCAAGTGTAGGACATGGAAAATACCCTCAATGTATATTCAAGGATGTCATATGTTAGGTCTCCACTACATACGAATGACTGGATTCACACCCCATTTCCAAGGTGAATTTATAGCTATAAAATCACCTCACACGGCAGCGCTCGGGTTACATGCCAGGCTGTTTTCATTCAAGACACATCCTCTCTATTCCTTTCCTCACAATACTCAGTGGCAAACTATTTAATGTGACGTATTTTGCCTGTCTATGGACACCTAAAAGCAAAATAACTGCTACTGTGATGTGTTCCCCAAACTGCAGCACACATCCCCCTACTGACGCAAACCCGAGCTGAAACCCGGTCGCACATCAGCAGGGAGCCTGAGCTGGGAGAAATACAGCGCTGTAAGTGGGCAGTCCCTGAATTAACTGTTTGGGAGCTCCTGCTCCTGGTTAAGGCTAGCTGTTGCCACTGCATTTGCACGTGCCTTTGGACAAGTTACTAAACATCTCTGAACCCGCTTTTTTCTTTCTAAGAAGAAAATAAAGAGAAAATTAAAATTTCCAAAGCCATACTCGCCCAACCGGCAAAGCACGTTAGACGTATCGATGCCCCAAGCCCGGGGCGCAGGCAGCACTTGCCCGGTTTCGACCTCCGGACCTCCCCTGCAGCGTGACACGCCGCGTGTGCCGACACCCACACCGGCACCCAAGGCCGCCC